AATAATGCTGATTGCTATGCTGAGCTAATAAGACTGATAGATGATAAAAGCCTATCACTGATAAGACACGATGCCGCTGATGATGGCAGGAAGGCTCTAAGAATATTGAAAGAACATTATTCTGGAAAAAGTAAACCACGGATAATAAACCTCTACACGTCGTTGACCAAGCTACACATGACAGACAGCGAAAGTGTTATCGACTACCTTATACGGGCGGAGAACATTATCATGGCTTTGAGGGAAACAGGTGAGACCATGAGCGACGGACTCATAATCGCCATGATAATAGGAGGACTACCAGACACCTTTAAGCCACTGGCTGTTCATGTAACGCAGAATGAAGATAACGTTACATTCATAGACCTTAAAAGGAGACTGCCTGTATACGAAGAGGCAGACACATTTAAGATAAAAGAAACCACAGATAACGTGATGAAAACTAATGTTAAACAAGGCAGAGGCCCCGGCAAGATGTCTGCTAAGAAGATGCTAACGTTATGTGCTACAAATGTGGAATAAGAGAGCATAAGGCAAGAAAATGTTACAGAAAAGTGTTGTGTGGTTACTGCAAAAATAACACACACGAAGAATCCCTGTGCAAGAAAAAAGGGGGACAAGATGGTGTCAGAAAAGTGACAGAGGAGGAAAACAGCAAACAAGACCAATTCTTCAAGGCAAAGCATACAAAGAGCGGGAGACCTCCAGACAATGTAGAGATGAGAGGCATCATGGTGGACGCTGGAGCAACATCCCACATCATGAACGATATTTAAAAGTTTGAGAGAGGCATCATGGTGGACGCTGGAGCAACATCCCACATCGTGAACGATATTGAAAAGTTTGACAGCTTTGATGACTCATTCCTTTCAGGGACACATTCAGTGGAGTTAGCTGACGGGACCAAATGCAGCGGAATAGCACAACGCAGAGGAACAGCGATCGTGTATCTGCTAGACAACACTGGACGACAGCACAGAGCACAGCTACGGGATGCACTGTACATACCTTCATACCAACATGACATCTTCTCTGTGGCAAGAGCGGCAAATGAAGGAGCGACAATCACCTTCAAGAAAGGAGAAAGCCACATGGTTACCAAGGACAGTAGCAGGTTTGACATCCACGAGAGTGGACATTTGTATTACTTGCCAACTGTTACAGAAAATGTTGAAAAATGTAAAGGGTGTCATGATATGCAAACTTGGCATGAGATTTTGGGTCATTGCAACTATGACAATGTACAGAAATTACAAAGTGTAGTGACAGGCATGGAGATAAAAGGAACAACAGTTAAGCCTACTCAGTTATGTGAAGTGTGTACACAAGGAAAATTCACACAGACTAGAAATAGGGAGCCAGACAGAAAGGCTGAGAAACCCTTGGAGCTAGTACATACTGATTTAACTGGTCCCATGTCAACACTGAGCAGAGAAGGCCACAGATATGCACAGTCATTTACAGATGACTATTCAGGCACTGTGATGGTATATTTTCTGAAGCCAAAAAGTGATACAGTGCAAGACACAGAAAGGTTCTTGGCAGACATAGCACCTTATGGAGAAGTCAAGTGTATTCGTTCAGACAATGGCACTGAGTTTACAAGCCGAGACTTTCAGGCACTCTTAACTAAAAATAGGATTAGACATGAAACGTCTGCACCCTATTCACCACACCAAAATGGTACAGCAGAGAGAAGCTGGCGAACTCTCTATGATATGAGCAGATGCTTATTGATAGAGAGTGGGTTACCAGACAAGCTATGGAACTACGCTATGCAGACTGCAGCTTTTGTAAGAAACAGGTGCTACAGCAGGCGCACAAAGAAAACGCCATACAAGTTGTTCACAGGCAAAGAACCAAATGTATCCAAACTGCAAAAATGTGGTACAACATGTTTTGCTTACAAACAAGAAAAAGGGAAGCTAGACTCTAGATGTGAGCAAGGGGTTTTCATTGGCTATGATAAAAACAGCCCAGTTTATCTGGTGTATTACCCAGAAACAGAGAGGGTGCAAAAGCACAGATTGGTGAAATTCACAACCAAAAGCGCAAAAGAAAAGGAAACACAAACATCTGAATCACACATAGAATGTGGTCATGAGGATGCACACTCCAGGGCCATAGGCAATGATATAAATGTGGAAAATGTATCAAGTCATGGTATTCAGATTTGTGTAACTGAGGCTTTACTTGAAGAGACTGCATGTACATAGCCGAGTAAAGCCACAGAGACTGTAACCAAAAGGTATCCACAGAGAAACAAAAAGAGACCAGCTCATCTACAGGATTTTGAGACTGAGGATGCAGAGGACAAAGCACACACATGCATGGACTTTTGCTACAGAGCAGTCTGTGACATCCCTCAAACCTACAACGATGCCATAGTGTCAGCAAAGTCAAGGCAGTGGAAGAATGCCATGGACGAGAAAATGCGATCTCTGGAGGAGAACGAGACCTTCCAGCTCACACAGTTGCCACCAGGTGAAAAGGCGGTGGGGGGAAAATGGGTCTATGCACTCAAAAGTGACATTGATGGATCAGATAAATACAAGGCAAGATTTGTAGCAAAAGGCTACAGTCAAAAACCAGGAACTGACTACACAGAGACATTTTCACCCACAGCTGATGTGACAAGTGTAAGAGTACTCATGCAGAAAGCAGCACAAGAGGGACTCATTTTACACCAGATGGACGTTAAGACAGCCTATTTGCATGCACCCATTGATTGTGAAACCTATATGGAGCAACCAGAAGGCTATGAAGAAAAGTCAAGAACCGGGGAAAACCTAGTTTGTAAGTTGCAAAAGTCTCTATGGCCTTAAGCAATCAGGTAGAAACTGGAATGCTATATTACACACATGTCTGAGTGAGAACGGTTTCATACAGAATCCAGCTGATCATTGTGTGTATACAAGAGAGAAACATGATGAAAAGGTAATTATGATTGTATGGATTGACGATCTGATCATAGCAGCAAGCAACAAAAATGTACTGGAAGGTGTAAAGATGTAAAAGTGTACTGTGATGCTGACTGGGCATCAGATGCAACAGACAGGCGTAGCACATCAGGATATTGTGTCAGTCTAAGTAAAGGAGGCTCTCTGATCTCATGGAAAACAAAGAAACAACCAACAGTTGCATTATCCACCTGTGAGGCAGAATACATGTCTTTAGCATCAGCTATACAAGAATGTATCTATTTAGATCAGCTACTCAAAAGTATAGACACATACCAGTATGTACAAACAAAGGTGTACGAGGACAACCAAGGTACTATAGCCCTTGCCAAAAACCCAGTAAACAGGCAAAGGAGCAAACACATTGATATTAAGTACCATTTAATTAGGGAAACTGTAAATAACGGAAAGTTAACTTTGGAGTACTGCCCTACTGAGTTAATGATTGCTGATGTCATGACCAAGCCAGCTACAAAGCTACAACTAAAGAGGTTTGCTCAAGACATGTTTGGCACTTAAAAGTGCACAAGTGTATTCACATTGTTAAGGCAAAAGAGAAGCCTTATATGTTGTTTGTTTTGTTTTCATGTAACCAATAGTTAAGGTTGAGTGGGAGTGTTAAGTATTACTTTGTAATAGCACCCTTACTCCATGTTTAATGGTACATCCCGTTTGTGACGTCATAAGCATGATAAGCGCGGAGTCTCATGTTGATTACGCAGCACAGCCATGCTGGTTCATGTCCCTGAATAAAAGGATGAGAGAAGAAAGATGACTGCGCATACTTTATTGATTTAACAGAAATCCTCTGAAATCTCAAACCACAGGTGTCCTGCAGTTCTACGTAATGGTTTGGCATACAAGGTTAAATATATCAAATAGCACTTCCTTGCCTTTGTGGGGATTCAGTTTCCTTACTCTTTGTGCGAGCTTTGGTTGACCCACTTCCTGTGGCCTGATTTTCAGTTGTCATGGTGAAGCCAAAGCATACTGAAAGAAAAGGGGGGTGATTTGCCTGGAAGTGAACACAGATTAAAGAACTTTACCTGATGACATTTTGCGAAAAAGTGTTTATTTGTTCTGCAGTTAAAAAGTTAATGGTGAGTCCCAACACAAAGGAGTGAACTAAGCTGGAGCCCTGTCACGTGGTCATAGGCGGTGGTTGAGGCTCAAACAAACAACATAAATCCTGCATAGATGTGCCAAGTTCTTTATAGTTATCTGACAATCAAATGTAGTCATTGACTATTAAAAAAAAAAAAACGTAGCCTTATACTACAGGCTGACATTTGGAGTTGCTGAATATATCATAGCAATAGCCTGTATAAGAAACGTTTAGGGAAGATCTGTGTTCACAATAAAGGGAACAATCATTTAGGGAAAGCTTAGCTTCTATATTCTTCATTACCAGCCACGCCTCGGCCTCAGTAAAAGATCAATTCGGAATAACTGGCTAGTTGTAACAAGTGACACAACAATTAAACTAAAGGCTTTGGGAAAAACTTTTGTTCTTGTCGATTCTGAGAGTCACATTAGAAAATCGATACCACTCTGATGTCTACATGTTGAATATATTTCTGGAGCCAGCGACCTTTAGAACAAAGACTAAAAACTAAGGGGGAAAAGCTTGTCTGGCTAGGTAAAAAGCTAACACAATGTGCCAAAAAACACCTTTAAAATTCCCTACAGGTTAGATAGTCAGGGCTAGCCCTTTCAAGTCTTCATGCTAAGCTAACCTAGCTAGTTGCTAGCTTAAGTTTGTTATTGACTGGACAAACATGTGTGCTATCAATCCACTCATGTAACTCTCAGCAAGAAAGCCAAATAGGCCTAAGTGTTTTTCTCCAAACCGTCAAACTATTCTTCTAAAGGTTACAAATGTAAAATTGTGGCTCTCGGAGCAAATGTCGAGGGTGAAATGTGTTTTGTGTTGTCTAACGTGCTGATTTATTGGAGTCCTCCTCAATGAGGTGTTGTTAATGTTGTCACAAAACCTGACAGATGGGTCACGGTGAAAAGGCATGGTGACATCAAATGAGTTCAACTCTGAGCCTGGGGGCCAGAGTTGGCACGCTGGGGGCTGGAATGCACCTCCCTCACATTTGAATTTGACCAATGCTGGAGCAGAGGGGGTTCACACCATCAGCACACTGGGGGGATGGGTAGGACACCCAGACAGACCTTCCATTTCCAAGAACTGCAGTTGTTGGCGGGGAAAAGAGAAAAAAAACTTTCCGCACTAACATTTTCTCCTCCCCTCCTCTTAGCTGTGACGCATGAAGGTAGTGAGCTGGAAGCATGGCGTAGTTTGAGCATTTGCACATTTTGAGCAATAAAAACAATGTAGACAAGAAAGTGTTGTACCAAATATAATATACAGCACAAGAGTTGTTAACCCAGTGTTGGCTTAACAATATTCAGTAATAACAAAAGGCATTAAAAATACATATCTTTTTACATTTCCTACCCCACAATTTACTGCAAGTAGTAGGCTGAGGAGCAGTAGTTTAACTCCGTCTGCCTGCTTAAAAAGTATGAAGACAAGGTACTTTAGATAATGGCATTAAAATGATATGCATACAGTCAGGCAGAGACAAGGGTAATCTTTTATAATATGCTCTAAATTGGCAGAAAGCACGTAAAACACATGGCACAGACCACCCAGGAGCAGGGTGGGGTGAGGCATGTCTCTTCATCAATGTCAGTCTTTGCCACTTGTGCACAATCCCCAGTCTCCAGTATGTCTCTAGAGCTTAAAATCTTCAACACTTGAAGTTGAGTTAATTAAAGCTGCCTCAAAACCTTGATGTGAGCAGAGTACGAGTAGGCTTTCCTCCTCAGTACTGGCCTCTTGCTCTACCCCTTCCTCCCCCTCCTCCTCTCCCCCTTTCTCCCCCTCCTCCTCTCCCCCTTCCTCCCCCTCCTCCCCTTCCTCCTCTCCCCCTCTCTCCCCCTCTCCCCCTGCCACCCCCCCAGCCTCTGCCGCGGTCGCTGCTCAGGTGTCCGGCCGAGCGCCTCAGCTTCCTCCTCTCCTCGTGGTGATCCCTCTCTGCCTGCTGCTGCTTCCTCTGCTGATCTGACTGCAAATGAGAAAAGGAAAAGGCACGTTAAATAAATAAAAGTATCCTGCTGTGTGTTTCCACCACCTGTGCCTTCATGGAGTGAACAAATTGTACATTTATAGAGCAGATAGAGTGAACCATTACTCATTTCCAGGTTATATTTTAATGTCAACTCGGTTAAATACACAATTTTGTGTTAAATACACAAAAGCATAAGCAAAACTTGCTCAGCTTGTTTCTCTGATAACTTTTTCTGACAACCCAGCCATCCGATGACTACAATCCTTTATTCGGTTAAAATAAGTAGTTGGCAACAACAAGATTTAATGGTGTATTGTAAAAATGTGGCTAAAAATATTATCATAGCTTCTGGCAGACGTTGGCAACTTGAACGTATGCACAGAGAGGAAACGTCATTACAGAAGACCAAAGAACAAATGACTGTTACCTTGAATAAAAGAGATTTTTTTTTATTAATGTTGGCTGATATAAGTTCACATAAAAAAAATATTTAACCAAGGTCTAGTTTTATTGTGCAAATGTTATATCTTATACCTTATTGTATATAACTTACTATTTTCACACAGCCTGAGATTATTTTAAATGTATTTTATTATACATTATTATGCTCTTATATTTAGCGGTTGTTCATATTTAGTTCTTGTTTGGGTTATGACAACATTTCTCTTAGTTTATAATTTTCAAACAGTTTTAAGCATGTTGTTAGTGGTAAGTGAAGCTGGCTTTATGTGAAACGCCTTTTGTTTAACCAAAAAATTCTACCATGAGTGTCTACAGTATGCAAGCACTGGAAAGAATGTTTCTTGAGTGACTGTATGAAGTTAAAAATGCTCCAGGCCAAAGCATCCTCTCCACCTTTGACAATTGGTTAGATTGAAGAAGTTGAATAGAGTGACGGGAGCGAGTTACAGGACAGACGGAGGATGGTGCACCAGGTTGGTTTACCTTTTTGAGACTGAAGGTCAGCTGCTTGCTGCCTACTGCTGTGTCGGCCATAGTGCCGGTTCCAGAGTGCTCCTCTAACTTCAGGCGGTCCTCCAAAGAAGCCCTGGCAGAAAAACACAAATTCCTCAGAAACGATGTACCAAACAGTATCACAGCGCAGTCAGGGTACAGAGTTATCAATTCCACACCAAACTCGAGCACTGTTTTATTTGTTATAATTAATATTCTAATGAATTGACAACTGGACAGGTAAGGTTATCCCTCATTATAAACAGCTGAAAGCAAGAGCCTGAATACTAGTCTGGGTTTCAAAAATGTCCCGCACAATAAGCCTCCAACACTTCCCATTTGATACATTTCCACATACTTCTGTAGTTTCTGCTTGCGGGCCATGTCGTTAAAGCTTCTGAACTCCTCCCCGGCTTTGATCTGATAATACTGAGGCTGGCGTGCCTTCTTGCTCTCGGCCGTGTTGGAGGTTTCCTCTCCTCCGTTTTTCTCCTTCAGCAGCACAGTGTTACGGTCCGCTTCCTTCCTCTCCAGCCGCCGGCGGTCCCGGCCCTCCTCCCAGAGCAACCTCCGCTGCTCCCGCACCTCCTCCACCCAGCTCTTGTCGTCGTCGTCGGAGCTCTCCTCCTCGGAGCTGGCCCGACCCTCGGGCTCCTCGGCGTCCTCACCCGCCTGGATGGAGAAAGCCATTCATGTGATATTGTTTTTTGGCACCAAAATACGCCTGAAGCCTCCTCTGATACCATGTCTAAATATACAGTTTGTGATTGCAAACAAGAGAAAAACAGATGACTGTGTCTTGGGGGATTGAGGAGTGCCGCAAGATAATATCTAATATTTTAATCCAGTACATGGTATTTATTTAGTTACGCTCCCTTCTGGCAAGAACCAATTAATATCCCTGCTTCCCCTCACGTGGGAGCAGCTCCAAACTTAGAAAGCCGGATGTCCTACGCTCAGACACTTGCATTTGTAAATTAGGGCTGGGCAATATTTAATGTTATATATAAGTATATAACATGGTCAAAGACAAGAAATTGTACTCTAAATGTCTGGAGACTATGTGTGGGCGATATGGCGAAATTCTTCAATCATGGAAAATATTTTTTTAATATCATGGTAACGGTATAACAATACTTTATTCAGTCTGTAAATTAAATTAAGAAATGGTTTAAAATAACCATACCCTGCTATTATCCCCTTTTATTTTAAGAATTATTTTTTAAATGGAAGTTTCAATGATCCTGAGAACAATTTCAAAAGGTTAACAAAGAAATACATGCCTGACTATAGTTAGCGCAACAAAAAAAACTCGCATGCGTATTTTAGAATATAGCAAAACAAAAAGGACTTTTCCTGCAGGATTCGCTTATCTGTCGGTTCAAAAACTGACAAAACACTATCAAAATAAGGTGCAACAGTTCTTCCTCCTCCGTTTCAATAATTTCACTATTCTCAACTATTACTACACGATACCTTGCAAGGCAGCTAGATTTTCTACATCACCTAAGAATCACAAGACCACGCAACAATACCTTCCCTGGTGGAAACCATATTGCCCCACTCTGCTGCAGTAGCTGTATGTTTTCCTACCTGTGCAAGAAATGTGAGTGAGAGCCAGGTTCAGCGTTACCTGTTGGGCGTCGGCGGCCTGCTGAGCCATCAGACGCAGCTTCTTCTTCCTCTTCTGTCCCACCTTAGAGACGATGGGGTTGAGGAGGCGGAACTCTTCGCTCCGCTCGTCCACCTGGTACTCGGGGTTCTCGAACATCACCTTGAAGCGGTCGTCTCCCAGGACGCTGGGGAGAGCCTGCAAGTTCGATAGTTGACATGGGGAGGGGGAAGAGATTAGAGTTGGTGTTTTTTCTCTTGCATACAGTATATTAAGAGTAAATACATTCAAAGACTTGGGAAGTGCTCATGGTGACATGTTGAAATATATGTCCTCCTACCTTGCCCTTCTTTTTCCTATTAGTCAGCTCTGCTTCGTCATCACCCTCCTCCATCAGCTTGAGAGCCAGCTCCTTGTTCACCTTGGGCAACTTCTGTCTCAGAAAAACATATTGGGCATTTGATTACACACACAGTATAATCCGCTTAATCCTTGAGTCAACATATACATTTTTAGTAAGCTTAAGGTTATTGGTTTTATTCGCTTGAAGAAGAGTGACAGAATGTGCTTTGCATTCAGGTGTTGAACCCATGGAAGACTTAATAATATCACGCCACCTTTGGCAATATTTCCTATGTCACTTAACGCATGTTCTCATGTCCAACTCTTCACAAACAGACGTGGAGTCACAGTTTTATACTGCCATAGCGTGAAATGACAAGCAAAGCCAAACGTGCTAAGTGTTAACATGGGAAAAGACTTAATTACATTACATGTCACTTGTTAGACGCTTTTATCCAAAGCGACTTACATATATATTCAGTACTGTGGACAATCCCCACAGGAGCAATTTAGGGTGAAGTGTCTTGCCCAGGGACACAACGACATGCTGACTGCAGTGGGACTCGAACTTGCTACCCCACGATTCAAAGTTCAGCGCACTAAATTCAGCGCACAATTCCACTGAGCCACACCCTCCCCACTTAATAAATTATCCAGGTAGGCCAAACCAGTTTAAAAAGAAAAGTGGATCTGATGAATGTTCACATCATGAATGTATGTTGCCATGAAAATGTATATGAAAGACAATACTAGAAAGATTGTGATCTGCAGGATTTTCTCCCTTACACCAACTTATGTCACTAGCTATAACTACTAGTGGAAAGTAGAGACTTTATGTCAGGACCGCTCACCTTAACCTGCACTCTCTGCGTCCTGGACTCCTCGATCTTCTGGCGGATCTTATCCTTGCGATACTCGTCGTATGCGAAAGGATTTGCCATGGTTTTCACCTGCGGCCAAGACAAACAGCAAACAGACACTTAAACAGAATGTTTCATCTGATGTATCATCGATGCATATTCAACACCATTTAAGATATGTTAACACAAACTATGTGTTCAAAGTTTCAAACCTTTATTTAACCAGGTGGTCCCATTGAGATAATCGATCTCTTTTTCAAGGGAGACCTGTCCAACATGGCAGCAAGCAAGAATGGCGCCTTACCTTGTGATAAAGCCTGATGTCCATGAAGTAGCCGTGCATGTAGGCTCTCAGGAGAGAGGATCCCACCAGGTGAGACAAACCTGACGCACATAAAGACAACACAAGATCAGCATGATTATCTTTAGTTGGCTAAATAGATTAATACAAAATAACAAAGTTATTCAATCAAGCTATTAAAGGAAAAAAATTCAATTTAAAATCAGAAATTCTGGTATTCTGTAAAAAATTTTTTTTGAACTGTATTCTTTGTCACGAATACTTTCATATAGAACATGATATTTTACGAGGCGACATAACTGCATAATTGACAAAACAAGGATCATTTTAGTCAGCTACAAGCAGCGAATTAATGCATCAACCAATCACGTTACATGTAGTGTTAATTTCGTCAGCTATTTTTTAATTTAGTTTTAGTCATATTTAGTCGCCTTCACCCTGTTTTTATTTAGTCAAGTTTTAGTCGACTAAAAGTCTGAGCATTTTAGTCTTATTTTAGTCGACTAAAACAGTAAATATTTTAGTCAAGATTTAGTCGACTAAAAGTCTGAGCATTTTAGTCTTATTTTAGTCTACTTTTTGTCAATTAAAACTGTTGAGTCTTTTTTAGTCATCAGATTATATAGAACATTTCAGTCAAACTAGTCTAGCCAAAACCAATAATTTGTCATTTTAGTCAAACTTATTTCACAATAAGATTATATCGTGTCCTTATTTGATGAAAAACACAGGTTGAATGATTAAGAATGCAGCTTTTCAGAGAGTATCTGGTCAGATTTGTGGTGTTTTTACCAGCTGTGTTATGGCCACATTGCTTCCCTTCTGATAAAACAATGCATTCGCTTTTTTTCTCCGCCTCATTGTAGCGAAAATGGGCCCAAATATCACATCGTTTCTTTCTCCCAAGCAGTGGTGGCTTTAGACTTTTTCGTTGTCAGTCATTTTGACGGACAGGATCGTAACATTTCCGTCATAATCCATTATTACCCGTCGAGTGCACAATTTATCACTCACTCGCGCTGATGGGGGGGTATTCGGTTAACGCGAGTGCGACCACTGCTCCCAAGCCGTGTTGTTGCCATTTTATTTTCTGTTAAATAAGGTTAGTTAGACCATGAGTTAGACTCGAGTCTTCCTGACAGTTCACAGTGTGCCGCTGTCCGGTGTAATTCAAATGTGCCGCCGCGCGCAGCACAGACACACAGCTGCTGCCCAGCCGCAGCACAGACACACAGCTGCTGCCCAGCCGCAGCATAGACACACAGCTGCTGCCCAGCCGCAGCACCGGAAATGGAACTGCTGGGAGAAAAACTGACTATCAGATGTAACGTTATCTTTGATAATATTTCGTCTCCTCATTTTTCATCAACGAAAGTAAAGAGAGATTTTGGCATAGTTTTTATTTAGTAAACTACATTTTCGTCTCGTCACTTTTCGTCAACGATATTGCATGATTATTTCGTTACAGTTATTGTTTACTGCCGTCGGTGCCGTCTCGTCATCGTCTCGTTTTCGTCATGGAAAAAAAGGTCGTTGACGAACATATTTCGTCATAGTTTTAGTCAACGAAATTAACACTAGTTACATGGACGTGTCACGATATATAGACACAAAAAGCATGGACACTTCATATTTTGAACTAAGATGGCCAACCTCTTTAACATTAGCCAAAGGCAGCACATGTCGAATACACTCTTTTAGCTGTTGCCTTTCACCGTGAAAGACATTTTATTTGACATTTCTTTGTCATGTATTCACCAAGCTTAAGTCTTGTTGTTTTAAGGCTTTAGCTAAGAATTATTATATTAAAAAAAACTTTGTGAGATTTTTTTCTTTTCTTTCTGATTGTACAGTATGAGTAAATGCATTGCCCCAGGTATGAATGGGAGCAGTCACACGCCCAGGTGATTGTTAGAAAGCATTCCGATTGCTTAAAAGCCTGACGCATGTGAGAGCGTGTAGAGTGTCACAGAGAGTGCTGACTTATTGCTCTTCCCTAAGATCTCCTGTCAGTGAGCTCTGCGCCGGCTGCTTCCAGGTTACATAACAGGGCCACATCACACAGCTTCTGTAAATCAACACTGCTGCTCGCCTCCCTGCCCCCTCATCTCCTTTTATTCCACAGCAGCCAACCACCTTTCTGCTTCTTGTCATTTGATCTCTTTACTGCTGAGCCTGCATTCCAATGTTCATTCAACCCTTTCAGTATCTACACACACACACACACACACACACACACACACACACACACACACACACACACACACACACACACACACACACACACACACACACACACACACACACACACACACACACACACACACACACACACACACACACACACACACACACACACACACACCACACACACACACACACACACACACACACACACACACACACACACACACACACACACACACACACACACACACACACACACACACACACACACACACACACACACACACACACACACACACACACACACACACACACACACACACACACACACACACACACACACACACACACACACACACACACACACACACACACACACACACACGGCCTATAGTTAGGTAGTCGGGCAGACTGTGGAAACCTAAGGTGGCAGATTGATTTATAGCTTTTGAGGGCCCTTTTAATGCAGGAATCTTGTATTTTAAAAGAGGGTAAAAAATAAACAAAGTTAAATGAACCAATTGGGGTTGCTTGGTTTCGGAACGTTGGGAATTAGGTGCACAACTTTGAGTTTTGTTTCCACAAGCAGTGAGCTTTTCAGGAGAAATTAAGGCAGCAAGGTCTCACCAAGATTTTCCAGGTCCTTCCTGGTCACAAACTTGTAGTCATCGTACACTGTGCTCTCCGGACTCTCCTCCAGCTCCTCTGTCAAGTTGTCCAGGAAGGAGCACCACCGAGGTGCAGGGCCAAGCGCCTAAACACACACACACACACACACACCAGTGGTTCAGATTTAGACTGTTGAGTAAGTACGAAACCTGTCGTGTATTTGTTGAAACAGAAATAGACTCACTGTACAAGCTCTGGTTTCCAATCCAGTTAGGTATTACAGAGCTATTTTCAAAGAAGCTTGGAATTGTGCTGACGTTACCCGAAACTAATAGAGCAAAAGCACTGGCACAGCAGAGTGTCACTCAGGCCGAGCAAATCAAGAAGGAACTCCATTTGTAACAACTTCAATAAAATGATACCACAAGTAGCTTTGTTTAAAATTGTTAGACCTTTAAATAAAACCTACATGCATTGTGTGCATAAGTTAAGGTTAGAAGATTATACGCACCATCCACCTGTCTTTGGGTGTAAATCTAATGTATTTGTGGGCTTTAAATTCCCTGGGCATGACAGTGTCTGCATGTGCATTCCTGTCTGTAGCTGCATTTGATTTATTAAACCTTAACAAGTAGCTATGATATGCTTTTTACTATGTTAAAAGAAAATAACGGTAAATGCGTTTGCTTGTTATCAGCTATTGAATGGCTACGGATGATTTGTTATGATCTAAGAAAAATAGGTTACACTTTGATTTTAGTTTAATCTAATTTATTCTCGAATGGAGCCTGGAGGTTGTGTAGCATTATTTGATACATATATCATATTAAAAATGTGTCCAGCCATTTGTTGAATAGCAATAAAGTGCCTAAAGTTTAAGTATGATTACATTTTCTAATTTTAGTTTGTTATAAACAGATTGTGAATGCAGAATTTGTTGACGGGACAAGTTTCGAGCATGCTTCGGTTTAACCGTCCATGAGGAGAGCAAAAGAGCAGAAACACATTGGTCAGTATGCAGAATCAGAACCCATTGGCCAACTTCTGGCCATGATTTAGTTTTAGTTACTTAAAATTAGCTTGTTAAAAAATCTATTTGTAGATCTGTCGTCTTGCAACTCAAACACCACACATCTTCATCGGACTGTAAACAACGAGTGCTTCACAGAAAAGGTAGTCTTGGCCCAGATATCCGCTGGCTAGTACCGAACTTGACCGCTGCCTCCAGATGCTTATCATCGGGACATGGGTTTTACTTTTAATGTAAACACTTTTATCAGGATAAAACGTGCACCTTACAGTTGCTGCAATTTAAATAATGGCTGTTAATGTTCACTTAAGATGAAAATGTTAATCACTTGTCGCTCTAGTTATCTCTCATATCCATATTGGATGTTAGGACATACCCTTGAAAGGGGCAGCTCTGTAATGCCCTTTCACACCGGCGCTTTTCCAGCTCCTGCTGCGTGGGAAGTCTGAGTAAGCTCAAATCAATGACTATCTTGGTCAATCAGTTGTTCGTAGGTTTAACGATTGAGATCGAGTTTTGTCCCGGCAGCAGACATACATGAGACTTGTGTCTCACCAAGGAAATGCTGTTCAGGGAGAAAAAATGCTGAACTTCAGGCGTTTTGTTTCCGATCTCCTACATTAGAATCCTTATTATGGGGTCACTTTAAAAAGGAGGATTACAGTGCGCCATAACCTTTTCAATGTGCAAAAACGAATCATTGTTGAATTAAAATGGACTTCAAAAGGTTTTTGATCTTATTCTTTAAAAAGGGGCACTACTCCCGTTTCTTTTTGGATTTGACATTAACTGGAAACTCAGGTTAAGTGCGAGTGTCTCACAATGGCATGAAAGACACTACATTTCACCCAAAAAAAAAATCACAACATTAATAGTGTGTCATGTTTCTATCCTCGGTAACACAATGGCATTTATTTTTTGCGAAAGAAAACACACTGAAACGTGCTGCAGTGGACAGGGCCATGTTGCATTTTTCGTCAACCAAATTCCGGCTGGGGTGACCGTGTTTTCTACAGAACTGCTGATTTAAATAACTTCCCACGTTGCAGTGTATTCAAACTGGTCCTCAGCAACAATCTCGTGAAATTTAAAGTAGATCGGTTTGAGGGTTGATGAGATAATCAAAACTCAGATACATTCAGAATACCATCATTATAGCACCACCTCAATGTAGGCGGGATCTGAGCAGATCGCTGTAGTTCTGGGATCAACAGGACACTTGTTTAATAACTTAGTTGGCAGTCAAACAGAGTAAGGCCTGGATCTTTTTGCAATTTTAGGGTGAAATGTAAATATTTTCTGGCATTCCATCTTAGCTTTGGAGGCTGCCATTTAATAAAATCTGTTTTTTTTGCACCCGGCTGAAAATAGCTACACCATAAGTATTTAGCTATTTACACCAAACCAGCCACTTTCCTTACTTTTGCTTACAGAAAACCAAAAAGAGAGAGTTGAGTAGTCATGCTTTACCATGCTGCAATACATGATGACGTCATGTGAAGTCAAACATTGGGGACAAAGTCTAGCCTCCAGCACCTGGTCATTCTTTAGTTTAATCACTGCTTTGCTTCTAGCTGATAAGCTGTGCAACAGACACAATCAGAGCTGTGAGTGAGAGCAGTTCTTCTACGTAGAAACATTACAGAAGCATAATGTCAGGTTGTTCACACGCCTAAATGCACAGGCTTGTCTAGTCCTGGCTTTTTCCAAGAAAATTGATATCTGAGATTATAAACAATAACATAAAAGTCCCCTCAGGACATGAAGCACTTTTATAAAATGTCTCGACTCATCTCATAGCTACACATATGCTTCATTTCTCAGAGAATGCAGTAATATATTGCATCTTAACATGCCTAAGCCAAACTGCCTATTCCACATATTGTTAACAGCATTTCCTAATTGATAAAGGATTTTCAAAGGTTTATAAGGTTATGTTTAAACTAGAGCTGGGTGACATTCTCTAAAAATATTATCACAGTACATGATATGGCGATATTTTATAATCCCTTTCCATACCTATCACACCAGTAAGAGGGTTTTTATATTAAGACATTTAGAGCTATTCATGATACCCCGGCCTAAACTTACCTCCTCCTTTGATATCTGTATCAAATATAAGAATTATAGAATAGTTACATTAAACTGGAATTAATTTACGTCTTACAATATCAAGTTATCATACACACATCTTTTTAAATATCCGGATTGGGATTCATGTTGAATCATACGCGTGGACCGGAGGGTGTGTGCAAGCAACCATAGGTTTCACTTTACTTTTTTATTTAAATTCCAACCTTAGTAAAGAAAAATATATTTTTCACTGTTGTTTTACGTTTATAAAGCCCGGAAGTCCTAATGAATTCTCCTATCATCTTTCTTTGACCCCATGACGTTTCACACCGAGGTTAGGAAAAGGCTCATTTTTTTACAATACGACCACAACCCCAGTTTCATCAAACGAGAAACTGTTTCCGGTCAAGGAGGTGAAATGACGGCTCGCTAAAAGTCAAAAGCTCTCGGGCTGCCAGATAACTCGGTGGTTAGAGCTGGTTTTAATTCTGCAAAGTTCAGATAACGCTTGATTTGAACTTCCGGGGTTGATAGGCAGTGAGTTTGTGTAACGTTTACCTGAGCTGATGTAGTAATGTGTTTTTATTACATGTACAGCACTTTGGCTCGACCAAAAATCGCTTTTAAATGTGCTTTATAAATAAAACTTGATTTGATGAGCTTTTTCTGTCTGTGTGTCTCATGCCAGCAGCTTAAAAAAATGACGGGACAATTTATACTCGATTGTTCGCGATATAGTAATTTCATACATCGTACGTAGAAAAGGCTGCGATACATTTAGTTTACTCAATATATCGCCCAGCCCTTGATGAAACCAAATGATCAGTTCAACAAATAACTATAAACACAGTATTGTATAGAACTGTGGCAAACTGAATTTATAACCCAAAGCCACAAAGAGACATGTGCTTAAACGCAGAGGGTGTAAACAGGTATAATCAGACATACAATACAATTAAAGCAAGCAGCCATATTCCCAAAAACTCAAAATACAAGCATGGGCCTGAAGATGATTCCTGTGACCCTTTTAATGCAGGATATCATGTGCTTAAATGCAGAACGACCACGTCCATCATTCCTGGAATAAACCCATTTACACAAAGCAAACTGTAGTGTACTGTAAACACACACCTACTCTATAATAACCTCGCTGTCAGATCATATCAGAGTCACAGGACGGTCTGTTGACAACAACGGGCTTCAGCAGCTTTACTCATGATATTGCGTCCTTGTGAGCACCACAATCTTGAGTGTGAAAACAAACTGCCAACAATCTATTGCTTAATTCCGCCCACACACCTGAATAAGCTTAATACAAACAGTCCTGTTCTGCTTAGAGCAATTGTTGTTGCACAATTGGGTATTTGTATCAAACAACAACAGTATGTGAGTGTGACCTGCGTGTTAAGTAAACAGTGAGGAGTGCAGATGCCTCTTGACTCACCGGCATGTAGAATGTGTTCATCTTGGGATCCTCATTGGCAGTGAAGAGCATACCTGACGAGGGGACACAGGATGCAGGCAAAACAATGTGAGGACGTGGGAAGATATTAATAGAGTGCCATCTGTGGTGTAAACACTGAATTTAGTTCCGCTCGGGAATATTTGAAGGTCCAATAACACTCGGAATGTCCCATTAGCCTTGGGATGCTACTGGTATGCCGAGTAGTAAATGGGACTTTTATCTGCATATCCTAAGGGCAGAATGACTTTGTGCAAATCTTGCCTACCAGAAAACTGTTAAACCTGTTGGGCAGCTGAAAGGAAAAATAAATAAGAATTTGTGTGAAATAAAATGTAGGAAGGGGTCTTTAGGTCTTTAGCGCTTTTTAACAGTTTGTATAATGAAACCTCATGAAATCAATGATAACTTCAATGACGGACAAAACTCCCAACAGTATGAACTTTACTGGAAGATGGCGCCCCCTGGAGGTAAAAGACTGCTTCTATTCCTCCCGACCACTCCTCATTTATAAAAGGGACCATATCAGTCCCAATACACTTAAAAGTCACTATTTATGTTGGTTTGTATCGTTTATTTCCATTCTTCAATTTTATAAAGTGTAATGTATTTAGGAATCCAATTTTCATGCTTCAAAAAGGAGAACTTTGAGTAGTGTAAATCAATCACCAATGTACTTTAATACCCTACATGCTTGAAAAGGATCTAGTGAACTTTAAACCGCACAGATAGTTTTTCAAGCACAAAAAGGTTTGTTTCCTTACTGTAAGGAGACAAACCTAGATTGTTAGAAATTAGAGATAGTCCGTATGTATTTAAAAACTTTAAAAAGGACAAAAACAAAGAATAGATGTATCTGTTAACTTATGGAAACCAACCTACAGCCGTTATGCACATTACAAAAAAGGGCTATAAGAGTTATCAATAATGTTGGATATCTTGAACACACTAATGTATTATTTTTGAAGTCACACATATTGAAGTTCACTGATCTGGTTAAATTTAAAACGGCACAAATCATGTACAGAGCAAGACATAATCTACTTCCTAGGAAATTAAAAACATTGTTCATAGACAGAGAGGGTGGGTATCATTTGAGAGGAAATCTACATTTGAAACAACTCAAGGTCAGAACAACTCTGAGAAGTATGAGTATAACAATCTGTGGGGTGATTTTATGGAATGGTTTGGAGCTAAAACAAAGCACAAGCATAATTCAGTTTAAAAGGATGTACAGAAACACTTTTTGGGAAAACTATGAGAATGAAGAGAGGTGATTGAAGATGAGAAATTATTGTATATGTATGTATAAATGTAAATGTACGTAGGAATAACTTGCATAATGATTTAAAGGACAATCATTGATCAAGTAAGGGGTGGGAATTAATAAGCATTTGCTTCCTCCTACTCCCTTTCGGACACATATGATTTATTATTATTATTAATATGAAGACTTTTTGTTTTTTGTTGAATATATAAATATTATCATGAATGTGGATAAATACTGTATTTTAACAATACGGTATTCTGTTTTTCACATTTGTATTTGTTAATTTTTTAATCTGTTCGAAATAAAGATTGAAATTAAAAGGAATAAGGAACATGTAGATCCCTTAATATTAAAAATAAATAATAAGGTTAACACAAATTGCACAGAAATATGACTTATGTTTTGATTCAACTCTTAAAACTCTAAATGTCTTTCGGTTTCCTGCTTCGTGTTTGTATAGCCTATATGTAATACTTTAAATGATGCATATTAGGTAGAAAGTGTAAAACGGGTAAACATAAAATAAGCTTAGGCAACGGCATGCACCTTTTTAGTCTTTCGTTTGCCCTTCAAAGCCTTGTTTTATGTTTTATTTGCATTATTTTTTGTACAACTAGAAGAACCACAATAAAATAGAACTGCTACTATCGTTTTGTTTTTTTAATTACTTCAAAGCATTTAATCGAACTGCTACAACGACACTTGTGTTGTCCAGCATGATCAAATAAAGAATAAATAAGATAGAGATATAAACATTATCTTGTGTTTTATTATCCTTGGACGGACTGTTCTCACCTGAATTAGGGTAGATGCAAACATCATTGATGTTGGTCTGAGGTTGTATGGAGGAGAAAGCCTTGCCCTGTGAATAGATAGAATAAATAAAAGTTAAACAGCAATCTAGACAGTCCAGTCCTGATAAGGTTGTTTAAAAAAAGCTAATATACAAATACGAAAACACATCATCATCCACATAAAGCAAAGGTTAGGTTCTGTAGTGGCTGTTGTTGAATCTTACAGTGTCTTTGCTCCAGACTTTGATAATCTTGGAGTCGGCAGACACTACCAGGTCCAGTGGGTCGTGGAAGTTGATTGATTTGATTGGCAGGTTGTAGAAGTGATCTTTAACCAGCAGCGGCTGGTTGGAGCGCAGGTCATAGATCAGCACCTTCAAGACAAAGCAAAGGGTTCATAACGCTGCTGTAGTTTACACATCTATTTAATTCTGAAAAATGGTACCGTCATTCAAACCAACAGCAAATGGCTAAATGTATTAACAAAGGCCACATCACAGGGCACTTGCTGCTCCTGACCTTTTTAGTCAAAATAGAGTTTGTTTTGAGAACAGTGTGGCTTTTTAGAGACTAAGGCCTAGGCTCCACGGGGACGTAAACGGGTTGAATCCGCATATTTCTCATGCGTATAGCCCTTTAAGCTCGACGACGCCGTAACGGAAACGTAGAAACAGACCCCGCAAACGACAACGGGTCCAAAGGTGGATAGATCTGGGAACGGAGCGCTCTGGGGGGTCCAACGGGGCCGTGGGGTCGCCTATACGGTCATCCGTTTCATAGCCCCGCCTCTCCCCGCGTACCCCGCATCATTGCTGATGTGTTTCGTTAACAACAACAATGGCGGATCGCAGGGTTGCACCATTATTGTGGGTTGTGATAATGACGACTCAATAGCCCCGCCTCTCCCCACCTCTGCTGCTCATCCCCGCAAAAGTACACTGCACACTGAATTCAGATTATTTATCTTTATCTCGATATGGACATAAACTCGAGGGAAGTCTAATCTGACAGGACGGAGACACGCAGCTCCTCCCGCTGTGATGCAGCGGGAGCAAAACACACACTTCAAGTCAGATCACCACTCTTAGCTATTTTAATTACCTCTCAAACTACCTAAACTAGTTATAAATATGTTTATTTTTACTGTCGGGTTTACTTACTGGATCAGCTGCTGCATGAGGAAGCATGAAGATTTAAACTTTAACACACATTGACCGGCGAAAAACTCTGCGCGGTTCCCTCGGCCCCCACCGCGGAGAATAAACAGAAGTGCAGCCATGACAACCATTCTTCTTCGCTGCTTTTGTGGAGGAAGTTGCTGCTTTTTGTGGAGGAAGTTACAGCGCCACGTACAGGTTCGGCATATGTACTGCAGCTTTTCCAGCGGTTGGATGTAAACGGAGCCGTCTCGTGGAGCTTGACACAATCCGGTGTATATTGCGTGTGGGCGGAAGGTTTTTTGCGGTTGCGTTTGCGTTACTCCGATGCGTTTTGCCGTATGGGTTCCTGTGGAGCCGGGGCATGAATGACATCAGCCACAACTTTATTAGAAAACTAATCTCAGGAAACACACAATATAAAATGTTCTGCTACTATGGGTATCTTATATAAACCAAAAACCAAAGCTAGAGGTTGGTTGTGAAGTAGTGTGCGATCATGGTGGATCATCTTGTTAAGGAGGTTATACCATGAGCAATATTATAAACAGTGTTTAGAGTTGGTAAAAATACTGAATAAAGACGTTTCATGGTAAAAATGTGTGTTTCTCAAATTCTGTTAGGATACGACTGTGGCTATGAAGTAGTGCGGTCGTCTTCCAATCTAGTCAACATATTGATGTATCCCTGGGCAGGGACAAGGCTGTGTGAATGTTAGTGTCTGTAGGAATATGTGAAAGAGCTTTAAGGGGTCATACAGACTGGAAAAGCGCTGTATAAATATAGTCCATTTATCATTTACCATGCTGCAAATGATTCTTCAGCTTTTTTCTCTGGTAACTTAACATCCAGACATGTGATGACTTAAATCCTTCAACTGGGAAAAATATAAAGTTAAAAACAACCAAGATTTGTTGTTGGCATAAATGAAACTGACCGTTCCGTTGATTAAAATTACGGATTTCTCTAAGTTGGAAAATTGGTGGAAACATTGCGACAATGCAAGTACACAACTCAACACAATAAATAAAATGGGGTAGGTTTATAGACATTTCAAAGAAGAAATGCTACATTTTTGGCTCACCTGTCCTGTACTGGTGCCTACTGCCATGGTGAGGGAGCCGTTAAACTTCAGAGCGGTAATGGAGGGCAAACTTTGAACTCTGTCAACAAAAACAATGAGAATAACACTAGTGAGACAAAATACTATAATATGAAATAATGGTAAACACTGCAGTGTTTTAAAACACACCGTAGAGGGTGTCTTCACCATATTACATACAATTGCATATCGTTTTAAGGTAAATGCATCATTATGGTACTTTGAGAGGCATTTGAAATGCAATATATGTTAACAATGTCATGCTCATGTAAATTATTTGTGATTAATCATGTTGTGCTTAATTTAAATCCTAAACAATTGGTTGTATATAACAGAGTTTACCTAAAAAGGTAAAAGGTCACTTGGTAATCTTCACTGTTGGTGATATGACACAGGGTTAAACTGTGAATCTTATACAAGCTGGACATCTCAAAGTGTACTGTAATAATGTGCAGCTTGTTTTTGTGCTGCAGAGGAACAGGTGGGGGAGAAAAGTGAAATGTGGCTACATATGCATCGTTAGCTGAATAGAAATGTGTTCTGGGTGTGGCACACATGGTACATACTCTGCTCCCTCAGCCAGGCTGCTCAGAGCGCAGTCCAGCTTGCCCACTCTGGTCCGAACACGAGGGTCCCAGCACTCCACCCTCCCCTGGTCATCAACAGAAGAGAGGACAGAGATAGTCAGATAAATGCAGGGTAACGGAAGCTATCAGTATACTGACTTGACTTGGGATGGGCCAATTCCCATGTTTGTAGATCCTTGGAAGTGAGATACAACGATTTGAAAAACTTGAATTTTAACACTCAGAAATGACTTCACACACTTATGTTCATCAGCCAAGATAGTTTGTAATACACAATATCTTAAAAAAAAGAGGAAACATATCTAACCAGGCCCATTTCAGAACAATCTTACAAATAAGTTCAACAACAGTTAAAAAAACGAAATCAACCACCTGATTAAACACAGCCAATGGAACTGATACTTCTTGTTTCAGTGTAACTGAACTCTCTATTTGAACATGTGAGACTGTTGGACTTAAAGCAGACGGAACACTCAGATAAAATAAAAAATAATCCAAAGATTTATAAAAAATAATCCAAAGATTTCAAGCTTTACTAGGGGTTTCTATTCGTTTTTATGTCTTTGTATATTTTATAATGCCAGTGTTTCCCCTATATACAAATAGTGGAGGCGTAGCGCCGCTGCTGAAATATGCGCGCCGCTGCTCGGGGGCGCCAGCCAGGTACCCAAAAAAAATAATATATATATTTTTTTTTTTTATTAAAATAATAAGTGGCGACCCTTTTTAATTTTTGATTGTCTTTTATGTGGATTTGTAGTATTTGTGTTACTGTATGTTCAATCAAGGTGTATCTTTGCTAAATCTTGAGACATTGCCACTGTATGTACTGGCAGAGCCGATTTTTGGCATAGGGGCACCAGATCTGGGGGGCGCTGCGCTGGTAGCTCTGGGAGGGGAAAAAACATTTTTGACCGTTGGCACTCATCCTAATTTTTGGCCTTGATGTAACAGCATTCATAATTAAGTAAATGTAACACCCTTTTCACCCCGGTTACACTTTTCATTTGCCCTGTACGATGGGCGCTGTAAGTGATGAAAGTGGGGGATGTTGGCTTATCAGGCGCCCGCAGCTCACAGCCAAAGTGCGAGCATGGGAGCGAGTGAGAGCGCACCGGTACCGGCGCTGTTGTTATTAGAATCTGGTGCTAGCTGCGCTAACGGATATAAGAAGTAGATGTTTTTCTACAACTAGAGGCTCAGTGAGGTAAATGACTGTTTAGATAGTTAATTTTAGTCTAAGTTATCTCAGTGGGTCTCAAACGTTTTGACCACAAATTATGTAAACACATATTTCCAAGGCACTCCTTTATAATTATTAGGATAAATAAAAACAGGTTTGAAATCATTCCAATGTATACTATCGGACAGTAAACCAAAAATATCGTTTAAAGTTGGAGATACAAAAATATGCATAAATAAATAAATGTTAACTAGGTAAAATAAGATATAAATTAACAACAAAAATAAAATAAGTTACATTTATTTGTTATTGGCTATGGTAGGTGATTGGTTATGTTCACATACTTATTGATTACTAAAATGTGAACCGATCTTTTCAGATGGGTGTTTAGAGTAGGGATGGGAACGATTAATCGAATATTCGAAATTATTCAGGTATTCTAATAATTATTCAGGTATTCGAATATTTTTATTAATTTTTTTGGGAGGGGGGATCTCTCTCTCTATGCCCAAATGCGGCGCAAATGCGCTCCGCAGCGAGGTTCTGGCGCTAACAGTTCATGAGCGCCAGAACACCCCCACCCCCTGTCAACACTCGCGACACATGAGTGGCCAGCCTAAACAACAATAAGCGATGTTTGGCAACCGTGTGTGGCGGCAAAGTATAGACATTGTGACAGGAGAGATTTAGTTTTGCCGGTATTCAACATATTTTACCAGTCATAGTCCGGTAATTATTTACACTCTAAGAAGAGTCCTACACAACAGACATGGCGTCAAAAAGGAGTAATGTGTGGAAATATTTCGACCAGGTTAGTGAGTGTGGTGTGGAGTGCAAACTATGCCAAATGAAACTTATATATATATATATATATATACATACTATACCTTGCTATACCCGCAACCTCCGTTCCAGCTGAGAGGGTCTTCTCTACAGCTGGCCTGATTGTAAATCGCCTCCGCACATGAAAGCTGTAGGCCTATAGCTGTCAAACTGTGATCACCAGTTCAATAAATTTGACAAATTCGACTTGGTTTCTATACTTATTTGAACATTATTTATTTATTTCCAAAAGTTATTGAAAAATTATTTTCCTAATTTTTTTTTATAGGATATGTTAGGGCTGTGCGATTATGGCAAAAATCATAATCACGATTATTTGGGTCAATAATTGATATCACGATTATTAAATACAATTATTCATTGACTTTGAAAACATCCATTTATTGAACTTTAAAACAAATACAAATAATAATTTGAACAGTATCTTTTTAACTGTTGATTACCCTGAACGTATAATTCAACTGAAAAACCAATACAAAAATAAATAAATAAAATAAATGATACATTTATATTTACATTTAAATAAATAATATCAAAATAATAAATACCAATAAACAAGATCAACAAATATTTTGGAGCGCACTTCAACAAGCTACTAAAGAATATGTAAATATGATAAATACAAATAAATTAGACTAAAATAAATTAGATCAAATATGTTGCAGTGCACTGTCACAACCAAGCAAAGCAAAATAATCGTTTTTTCCGATTATGTTGTTTTCGTAATTGTGGCAGGCCAAAATCGTAATTGCGATTAAAATACGATTAATTGCACAGCCCTAGGATATGTACATTTTGGTTAACCGTTTTTTTGGGGGGTCGAATATTCGAATATACATTTGCTTTCAAATTCCCATCCCTAGTTTAGAGTTGTACCCCCTAGATCAGGTCTCTAGTAATTGTGTGCTCAAAGTGCACCAGATTGAAGCATTTTACTTTAAAATGTTCAAAGAAATCTTCCCGGGGGGGCATACCCTCGGACCCCCCTAGAGGAGGTGATGTCCACCCCCCAATTAAAACATGTTCATACAATACTGAATACATTTGAAGCCATTTTGACATCTATTACCCATGTCAATAAGTTTCTGTTTTTGTAGTGTATTTGTCTTTTGTAGAGATTTTTCATTTATTCTTTATATATAAAATCTCGCCTAGGGCAGCAAATTGGCTAGAACCGGCCCTGGTACTACGCCTCAAGAGCCTTTCTTGTGCTGGCAGACACATATACGTCTTTACTTTTAAACGTCATGTCAATAACCTGCTTAAAAAAACTGAGGGTTAGGCTAGGTTTCTTCTACAGGAACAAGTCCTGTTTCTCGCTCGAGGCCAGAAAAAGGCTAGTCACTGTGACCTTTTTACCTGTGCTGGACTATGGTGATTTGATTTATATGAATGCACCTGCCAATTGCCTGGTCAAGTTAGATGCTGCGTATCACAGTGCACTGAGATTTGTGACAAACTGTAAAGCATTAACCCATCACTGTACCCTGTATGCAAGGGCTGGTTTGCCTTCGCTAACTGTACGGAGGCTCAGTCACTGGTACATTTTTATATATAAAGCCATGTTAGGGAAACTTCCATCCTACATCTACTCCCTGATCTCACGGCGAATTGTAAGTGGCTACTGCCTGAGATCGCATGCTGTGGTTTTATTAAATGTGCCAACTGCTAGGACTGTCTTAGGGAAGATAGCATTTAGATGCGCAGCTCCACTGTCCTGGAATAGTCTGCAATTGAAATGGAAACTGAGCAATCTGGTGCCACTAAATGTTTTTAAAGCTCGGTTGGATGCTACTGAATCGGAAGCTGTTGGTACCTGTTCATGTGGATAGTTATGTAAACTGTAATTCCTGTAATGATACTGTATGATGTCCTTTTGTTGTTCTGTTTATGTTTTTAATGTTTCATGTGGAACCTACTTGAGCAGGTCTCCCTTGAAAAAGAGGTCAATGATCTCAATGGGATACAACCTGGATAAATAAAGGTTTGAAATGAAATAGAAACAAATTGGCGGGGCGCACTTCACACTAAAAAAATTCCACGCGCTCCGTGCTCACATTATGCTGGGCCCACGTGCCTTAGCACCGCTACTATGACTCCATCCTAGGGGAAACACTGAATGCTATAAGCAATCAATGCACGGCCACACACGCACAGTTCTACTTGTGTCTGCTAGTAACCGGTGGCTCATTCCCTAACTGCCTGCTATGGTGCTTACCTCAGAGGATCCTGTGGCGAACAAATGATGGACAGGGTTGATGTCACACACGTTGTTTTCCCTGAGAAGTCCAGAAAAACAGGCAACATGAACATCAGCTGACAGCAATTACCTTAGTGCTAGTCAGTTAATAACAGATCACACATGTTTTCCTCTGGATAAAACTAGAGTTAAAGCCCACCATCTGCTTACATTTAAAAATATGTAAAATGTTTTTTTTCTTTTTCTACTCTTTTTTGTCTCATTTAGAAATCCTGCATTTGATGTCGCTCACAATGAGTTTCAGCAGCCGCTATTTCCTTGTGTGAGAGGAAACATCAGAGACATTCAGCTGTACGTGATTGACTCGATGAGGAGTCTGTTTTGCACCAAAATCTGTGACTAGTCGTCAAGACAGAATAGTAAGGGTAGTTAGCTTTTCTTTGGTGAGCTTTTGTAACTGGCAGTTCCTGAGACGGCGATGTTAAATATACAACAACTGCACATCAAAAACTGAACACTGAGTATGATCATTTTAGAGAAGAGCACAGACATCTGCTCCCTCAGTATAAGAGGAATGTGAAAACACCTCTCTGGTGACAAACTTTGTACTGAGAACAGTCAGTGCAGTCAAGGTCAGGCTTTTTATTGGATAAACACATTACGAAAACATTTAAGGGTTTATGAGATCTGCAAGTGTTATTGAATCATGCACATATAAACAACATTGTTATACTCACACAGCATCGGTCTGAAGTGAGTTAAGGAAGCGCCCTTGTTCCAAATTCAGTCTGAACACCTCGGAACTGAAGAGGAAAAAATACAAAAACAAAAAACATTAGCAGTATCGCCAAAACAGCTTATTTCTCTGGCACGCACAGGAGGAATACAAAAACATGCCAGGAGTAGAATACTGCGTATCTCACGCCACAGAAGTTCTGCAGCTGTATGAACAGTCAACAACTCTCTCTCACCTTGTCCCCACAAAGAAGAGGTCACAGGAGGGGTAGTGGTAAGAGAAGTCCCGTCCAAACTTTGGAATACGTGTCTTGTAGTAGCTTCCATGCTGCGAGTGGAACTCTACGAAGCGATCGCAGTGCAAAAACACCAACTGTACAGAAAACGGGTAGGAAATTAAAAGGTAGAAGTGTCAAAAATACAGAATTATTAATTGCATTTTCATTTCAAAAGAAAAGTTAGGCAGGGTATACAAACCATAACCAGCTGTTTACCACAGAAATATAAAAAATGTTTTCCTTAAATACCCCTCATGTTCAGTAAGAAATTGTGACTATCAACTCTAAGAAATAACTTAAAGGTAGGTAATTTCGGAGAAACCAGCTCGAGATCGCTAGAATTTGAAAATACACAGCCGGAAAAAATCTGCCACTTCCTTACAGAGCCCCTCCTCCAACACACACGAACGCGCACATGACCAATGAGGGCACGAGATAAGTTTGTGCACAGATGGAAGGCTGACAGGCAGGTAGGCCATCCAGTTATTTTAGCCGGGCCGGCTAAAATGATTGGTCGTGCTTTTTACAGTATTACGGCTTCCACAGATGACATTTTTTTATGGATTTTTTGTCAAAGCACTTAAGATATTCATTGCTATCGGGATGTTAAGAGCATTCCATGGAATATAACAAAAAGTGTATCTCGAGCCGGTTTCTCAAACTTACCTACCCCACCTTTAAATCCCATGAAGGTGTATATAATATTTGTAAAAGATATGTTGGCAAATCACTTTACATTTGATCAGATACATTTTTGGAAATGAGTGGTGCTGCCATTGGCTGCCATACATGCAGAGATGAGAGTGGTCTTTTATTTTTTTCCAGAGCTGTATATATTTCCCCTAATTATCTTAGCTTATTAAGCATAAAATAAAATGTTTAACAAGTGGTTGGCAATTTCAAGGCATGGCGTGAATACTAGTTTCTGATAACCTCACACAAGACAATGTTATGCATTTACAAACCATAAACAATGATACATGACACAAAACATGCATAAAATCAAACGTTTACAACAGCGTCTATAAAGTGCTGGGGGAGTGTCTTACCTTTGAGTAATCATCAGACAGGATGTCAAAAGCCACAACTGTGAGAAACAGAGAAAGAAGTTAATTAATTTAGACAGAGATGACATGAATGCCTTAAATCAAGAAGGTGTGTCCACTGACTTACCATCTGAATCCAAACAGCGCTCAAACTTTAGGGACAGCTGGTATGTGTCATAGCAGCGAATCCTGGGTTTGTAAGTACCTAAAAGTAAAGGAAAACAGATGTGTTTATTTTTTATTTCGTATCCACCATGACATGTTATCATGACATTAACTCTTGCTTTAGAATCCACAGTTTGTCTTACCTGTTGCCAGGATGAACTGCCCATCCCTGGACACTTTGATGGAGGTGCACACTGTGGGCATCTCAAAGTCCTGGATGAGCTCAATCCTGCGCTGAATGTCTGGAAAAAAATAGATTATTCTTACATTAGTTGGAAAAAAGACATACAATTAACCTGTCTGTAATCATTAAATTGAATGGGTCAACTCACCAACATCTTTCTTCTGTAACTGTCTTTTCTTCCGATCTGACAGCCACTGCATTAAAAAGGTACATGTGATTAGGAATTGTCATACAAATAACCAATAAAACAATACTTACAGGAACACTTATAGCTCAAACTTTATAGCTATATTTCATATGAATTTCTTCCGGTTTTATTTCAGCTTTCAAACCTTATAACTATGTTTTGTATTACTCTCTTCTGGGTTAATTGAAGCCTATATCACTGTTAGAGCATTTACTGAAATGAGCTGTGCATTGTGGGATATGAAAACTAAAATGAGTGCTCCCAAATGTTTGTTTTTTTAGAAAGCAAGAAATGTCAGTTTATTTATATGACACATTATATTAAGTGAGTGTTTTCTTGAATATTGTTCGTTAGTGAAACGTTGTCCATGCACATTGTCAGAGCTACAGTTGTCAGGGCTACCTGTGTTAGCTAACAGTTAGCTCCTGAATTGAACGCCAAGCAGTAACTTCATCCCTCTAAGTGCGCTCGAGCGTTTCGTGCTTCTTACCTCAGGCAGAGATTTTCCATGACTTAAATTATAAATCTTCACGTCATTCACACTAGATATCTGCATTGTAGAAAGTGAATAAGACTCTGGTCACACATAACACTGTTACTGCACACCGGCGTGCAGCATTGAATCCACGCACGTTGTTGCTGCGGCCGGGGCAAAAACAGGAAGCGAGGGTGAGTTTTCCGAAATAGGTCCGACTAGAAACTACTGTGATTGAGCATGGTCCCTCTCCAAACTTAGTCTGGGTTTAAATAATAAATACAAAAACCATGGAGTCTTTGGATTAAAATCCAAAATTGGTATATTTGAAATCTTGTGAATTCACGTTAATTCTTTAGTAGCATCCTGATCCAGCCCTAAAAGTCAGCATTCTATTCAATGTTTTCTTGTGTGCGAAACTATTTCATACACACTATGGCATATTCAAGTATTCAATTAAAATTCCTTGTGATAAAATAAATAATAAAAAATGATATCCATACAAGAATTTAGGGACTCAGTTTACAAATATTATTTATAAAATGTCTACAACTCCACAAAAGGGGTATCTTTATGTTGCACACTTGTTTAGCATAACATTTATCTAGACACAAGGTTGGTTAGCTAGCTGTCACTGTTTCAAATGAAATAAAATAAACATGTATTTATCTGCTTTTATTAATTATTTATTAATAAGAATGACATTACAATAGTTTTTAAGCCGACACCTGTGGTAAAACCAGAAAGACATACGAAGAAAGGTAACCTAAACTGCACTAATATATATATATATATATATATATATATATATATGCCACACAAAGCTCCATATTGTATTTTTTAAACACAATGTTGTATTTTGGCTACAGGCTAGGGCTTTTCTATTTATATTGTTCCCATACATAAATGCAAATCCCATGTGGTACATGTTTATTACAAAAAACACAGCACACATGTATATACTGTATATGTATAAAAAGAAAGATATTTTTTTCCAAGAGCCCATGAAGAGTGACAGCTATTTTACTTAAGTCACCCAGAGTGATGTCACAGCCTCTTGTGGGCTGGCTGGATGTCAGTGAGTCTCAGGTGGAGCTGCTGCTCAGACTTTCCTATACTCACAGTTGGACTGACACAGCACTGTCATGAAGACCTGACGGTAAGAAACATTGCTTTGAAATGTTCTATTCTATTTAGTCGTTTTTTTTATTAGTAGCCATAATAACAAAGGAAACTTGTTGATATAATCCAAGATTACTCAACGAATAATGAAAACAGAATAATAATTATATCACGGAAATATGATTTTAAGAAGTCAGCTTAGTATGAAAGCCTATACATGTCTCTATGATGGAGTTCCTTTCATTCTTTGTGTTTTGCCCTGGGTCACAGTGTTTTTGGTGCCAAAGCCTATTTTTGGAGGATTTGGACTGGAGGTCTCTATGTGACACACTGGGAGTCATGACAGACTTTTGGCTGATTTCGGTCCCTTTGGACAAGACCAGTTTAACCAGTGTGGAGAAATTGAAGCGCAACCTTGCCAAAACCAACCTGGCCTCCTGCTGCAGGTTCTCCATTCCAGAACTCAAGGTGAGGCTGTGTATCGTCTCTCCTAATGAAGAGCCCGGTGGAGCTTAGGAAAGTAAACAACATAAAATACAAACATTATGACAAGCTAAGGGAGTGTGAGTATAGCATTGTTAAACAAATAAGAAGAACTGTATGTTAGCTCTGTGTTTATCCCAGTACAGTAGAGTGCGGTGAGGAGGATGACGGTGTTTGGTGTCCTTCTCTGGTGAAGGGATAAAGGCTCAGGTTGCTCTCTACAGTTTGAGGCAACATTTCCATCCGACCCAATTCACTTAATGTCATCCATGTTCACCTTGGCTACCAGAAGTCATATTGTAACTGCAGTTTTTAATTTCTATCAAGAGTTCTAACCTGAAAAGCATTAATACAATTATACGTGCCCATCTCCTGGCTGAATCTTAAGTGGAGACACCCCAGGTGAACAAGATAGAAAGAAAAAACTAAGAGATATCACCATAACCCCAGTAAATTACTAACATTGAGGCCATTATTTTACAAGTTTTCTGATATTCTAAGATTAAATATGCAAATGACGCTTTATCTTATGAAATATGTGCAAAAATTGGATAAAGCAAAGTGGTTTTATTTTGTTGACATATAACAGTCGAAGGTTTTACTCAGGCCGTTTGGATTCTTGTTTTTAACACTCCATGAATCAGAAATGAATAAAATAAAATCTGCAGAAACCCTCGGAATATAGATATGAAGTGTAGATTTCTGGTGCAGAGCACAAGAAGAAAAATCATTTTTATAAAGGTCGGCTTTTAAGCATAATATGTGTTTTAAAATTAAAAATATACTACAAGGCCCTGATACTTAAAAAAATAACCAATACATATCACCATGAAAATTCCTCAGTTGATTACTAAAATGAATTCAATGATTTTTTCTATTACTTATCATTAGTTTAAATGTACAAATAACGCATTATCCCATGCTAGCCGGTAAATTTAGGAGAAAATTAGCAAAGTGTAGTACAAAGTATTTTTATAGTCTTATTAAAGCCAATACCCTCAGGGGGGGGGGCTCGCCTCAGGGGGGGGGGGGCTCGCCTCAAAAGCCAGCATGTTCATAAGTCATTATACATGCCAAACTGTTTGAGCCACGGTAAAACTGACTGTTCTGTCTATGCTGTGACCAGGTTGGAATACTGGACAGTCTGCTCAGCGTATCAGATGACCTCTCCAAGCTTGACACACTGACTGAAAGGTAAAAAGAAAATTCCAAGCATGCTTAAACAAACAGAATATGTCTATTCACACAAAACCTGTTTGTCTCCATGGTAACGTGCACGTTTGTAGCTTAATGTGTCTTTAGTTAAGACGTGGTGTAACTCTGAGCTTGTGTGCAGTCTGCGCCATGATTAATTGATGGTCAGGGGCATGCTGATGGTTAGTTTCCCTCCTGATTTTAAATTCATTGTTGGTGGATGAGAGCCAGTATAGCCAATAATTAACGTACAAATTTGGCCTGGCAAGTTCAAACGACACAGATTTCTACTTAGCCTGGTATTTTATTTATTATCCCTTCGTTTTTTTTACATCTCTCTTTATAGATCTTACCTAGGATAGGAAAACCCTTGTTAGACATGTACTTTGTGGGCTTCATTAACAGCATTTAGAAAAAATTGATTTCCAAAATTTGAACCGAATGAGCAACATATACGAAACATGACCAAACAAGTCTTTATTTAATGTTGTGTTTTCCTGTTGCCCGGTCAGTGTGATTAAAAAAACACATCAGTGTATGAGGGAGGTGATGGAGCAGTCTGATGACAAAGTGCTGGAAAACGCCTTAGCCAATGGAGGTGATTCACACACAAACACACACACTCAACATGCATAGGGTGTTTATTACATAGTAGGAACTCATAAGTAAGTGCTTAGAAGCCAGCACATAAGCATAAGCATAAGAGACATATAACTACTTAAACCAAGCTCCATATGCATGTCTACACATGACATCCACTCCCACTCACACATTCAGAGATCCCTTTCACCTTGTTTCCACTTATCTCTGTGAACATCGGAGTCAACCGGAAGTTTTTCATTACTATGGAAACCTGATCTCTGCTGCGTTATTTATTTTTTCTCCAAAATGTATCTCAATTAGGTTTTTGTGGCAGATGCAGGAAGAATCCATAAAATGCTCATTTGTTTAACATGTTAATTTCATGTAAAAGTAGCCAAAAAGTGAAATTTATTTTATTACGTTTTTTGTCAAATTGTGTATGTTCATAAAAAACGTTAACTTTTCAGCTAGTTAAACACATTTCTAAATTTGAGTAAAATGTTCTTACATGGTTATCATTAGCTACATAGACTGAATAGAAGTAAATACAAGTGGAAGACTACATTATAACATTCATATACAATGATTTATTTGGATAAATGTTGCATAATTGTCCTGTTTCTGTTGGTGAAAAAGTGACAAATCAACTTAATTGAAATCTCTGTGTCTCCTTGTGTTGAACACTGGGGAACTATGGAAACGAAACAAAACTCTGTGAAAACGAGGGAATGTATTAGTGTCCTACATAAAGGCAGACGGATAAAGCAACTACAACCCATCACAAACAAGGCTAACCCCTGTCTCTGATCACTTTCCTCAAGCAGACCACAGCATGAATCAGACTGCCGCCGTGTCGCCCCTGAAAGCTTACCTCAACTCTCTGAGGGGTATTTGATCTGCCTGGAGTGCAGTGCTGTGTGATACAAAGTGTGCATTTCTACAGTAATGTATTGACACTGACTTGTGTGAATGAAGCTTGTTTTCCACTGTGTGGTGTGTTTACAGTCGTTCGATTGTTGTTTTCTGGTGATTTTCTTACCTGTTGTGTGTGTGTGTGTGTTTCTCAGTGGACCTAATGAGCTACATGACAAAGTTTCAGTGGGACAAAGCCAAGTACCCCACAGCTCTGCCTCTCTCCAGCCTTGCAGACATCATCACCAAGGTACTAACCAATGGAAATGAGAAGGATATTCCCATAAACCTTCCATTTATGAACGCAGAAATGCTCCGTTTATGTATGGGAGTCAACCGGATGTCCATTCATTGCTATGGGAACATCCATGATCCAAAATGTGTTTGTGAAAGTCCCCCTCTTTCGGTTTTTTTCTGTCTAATATTTACCTCTAGACATTTGAGCTTTAGCAACACATTTTGGATGGATTGTATGCAGTGTATGCTGCAGTAATGCTAACTTCCTGTGGAATTGTATCCTAATATCCTTTGTGTGAGTGGGCACATTTGCTAAAAGCCAAGTTGATACATAAATTAATCATTGTGTAGTATAATAAAAAAAAGGAGTTTAGGTACTTTTACAAATTTAGCAAATTTGAGAAATGTTAATTTGCTTATGGATTTTTCTTGTTTTGAGCTCAGCACATGTTCTTCTGATATTGACATGTCTTGTTAACACTTGCATGCGTGTCAGGAAGTTTCCCAGATGGAGACGGAATTAAAATCCCGAGCTGCAGCGTACAGCAGCGTGAAAACGAGCCTTCAAAGCATGGAGTACAAACTACAGTGAGTGACGTCAGTGACGTATTAAGTTAGAATTACATCACTTTATTATCAATTAAATGTTCAACTTGAATGTCTATCTTTCCAGTGGGAGTTTGCAAACTTGCAA